CACTAACAGTTTAGGTAAAGGGTTGAAACAGTAAAACAAACATAACATATTGTACCATCATAACAAAGTCACTAACAGTTTAGGTAAAGGGTTGAAACAGTAAAACAAACATAACATATTGTACCATCATAACAAAGTCACTAACAGTTTAGGTAAAGGGTTGAAACAGTAAAACAAACATAACATATTGTACCATCATAACAAAGTTACTAACAGTTTAGGTAAAGGGTTGAAACAGTAAAACAAACATAACACACTGTACCATCATAACAAAGTCACTAACAGTTTAGGTAAAGGGTTGAAACAGTAGAACAAACATAACATACTGTACCATCATTGTAAAACAAACATAACACACTGTACCATCATAACAAAGTCACTAACAGTTTAGGTAAAGGGTTGAAACAGTAAAACAAACATAACATATTGTACCATCATAACAAAGTCACTAACAGTTTAGGTAAAGGGTTGAAACAGAAAAACAAGCATAACATACTGTACCATCATAACAAAGGTATAAACAGTTTAGGTAAAGGGTTGAAACAGTAAAACAAACATAACATATTGTACCATCATAACAATGATGTAGTAAGTGTTGTCAGTGTAAAACTAGTCAGGGCTAGTGGAGTAAGTGTAAGAATGATCAGGGGTGATGGAAGACTACAATTCTTTTATGAGATTGGTGGATATTTTTCATAAATAATTTGAACACTAACAGTAAAAACGAAAGTGCATCATAAACACATATTACTCTGTGCTTATTCTTATCAGCTAAAATAATACTCTGTGCTTATACTCATCAGCTCAAATATTACTCTGTTTTTATATTTATCAGCTCAAATATTACTCTTTTCTTATACTTATCAGCTCAAATAATACTCTGTGCTTATACTTATCAGCTTAAATATTATTCTGTGCTTATAATAAACAGCTCATATATTACTCTGTGCCTGCAGTGACTGATCATTTTTGAAGAAAGGAGTATTTATGATGACTCAAACAACAATACATTGTATGAAATAGTGTCTAGTTTTTAAAATAAACACTCAATGCTAAGATGAAGGGTTAAATATCTTCTGAATATGAAAGAAACACAGAGTTATAGTACAAAGGAGATAGTTAACGCTCTTCGTCATCTTACCTGGCTCAAGTTCTGTTACAGCATACGAGTGGATGTGAGGTGCTATGTCTTCATCAATTGTCATCCAGTGACCTCCAGAGATTTTGTACTGGACTTTAAAAAAGAGGATGGGAAGCCCGTCATTATGATGTACAGTCCATCGTACCATTACTGAATCGTCTGACAGAGGAGTCAGATCTGGTCTGCTCGGCGGAACTAGCATAGCTGAGAAATTCATACGTGTTTCAAGAAAAATTATTTTCTTACTAATAGCCTCAGTGTAAAAATTTACTTATACATCAAGAACAACTAAAATCCACTTTTCACTCCCATATAAAGTTTTTAATCGTGATATGCATGTTGTTACACTAATACACTGAATAGATTTTCCTGTCAATCTTTCAGTTTAATATAAAGGCTATTACCTTACCACTATCACAAAACTATAAAAAAAGTGTAACAAATTATCACAGTTGAACTTACTGCTATTTAGAAGATGCCATAGTAATTTTATTTTGTGCCTGATATGTCAGTAATGGAGATTTCAGGACACCTAAATAACTCTTTAAATTATAAGTTGTAGGGGTTGTTCTCTTTCAAAACAAAGTACACAATTAGCTCTGTCCACCATGAGGAATTAAACTCTGGATTTTAGTGTTGCAAATCTGTAAACTTACCGCTGACCAACTGGTGTAACAAAAAACGCTGTAAATAAATTCATGTGCATATTTTAAATGTAAAACTAATTACATAGAACAAGATACTCTGAAACCGATTGGTTCCCTACTTGTCTTTTTTACTAACTCCTCCATCCCATTAAGATAATAAATTGAGTTATTTGGTCTCCATTGTATTGTCAAATTTACAACATTTTAATGAAAAGTTTAACTATAATATTAATTTTTTGAAAACAGCAATTATTAAAGAATAAACTTAAAAATATACACTTAATTATACAATTAATTGATTTATACTGACGGTTGACATGCATTAGAATCAACCACAACTAACAGCAACAGTTTTTCAAATCTTGCACATGAAAATATTAAAATCATTTCTCTGCTTCTATTCATGTAAAAGTATATCACAATCTAAATTAAATTTATAATTGTGATGTTTTTGGTGAAGGTTATATCAATCTGTAATTATGGTTCTCAGAAACACGAGTTCTAACTCTGACCGAGCTTGTACTATTTTCAGCAACCAAATTTGAAACTAATCTAATTTTTGACATTATACTTTGGGATATGCCTTACTTTTTTGAAGTTTACAGAGTTTTGAAATAACTATTCAAGAAATAATCATTGTATATTTATATAGTTGATTTGGGTTTAATGTCTTCTAGATCATCTATAATCTGGTTTGAAAAATATTCAGCTTAATCATTAGTTATCATTTCTTCAAATAATATACAGTTCGTAATCCTTAGTTTCTATTCTGTTTGATTCATTGCTTCAAACAAACCATAGTTTTTTTCCAAAGCTTCACTACCATCATCTTCATCAAGACCTGGAAGATTGCCTTCAGTGGTGTCAACATCTATGAAGATATAATACCAATCTTCAATAAGTAATTAATGGTTCATATTAAACTCAGGTTTATGTTTACTCACTTTCTGAAAACATACAGCAATTAAAGTTTGGGTTTATGTTTACTCACTTTCTGAAAGATACAGTAGTTAAAGTTTGGGTTTATGTTTACTCAATTTCTGAAAGATACAGTAGTTAAAGTTTGGGTTTATGTTTACTCACTTTCTGAAAACATACAGTAATTAAAGTTTGGGTTTATGTTTACTCACTTTCTGAAAACATACAGTAAAGTTTGGGTTTATGTTTACTCACTTTCTGAAAACATACAGCAATTAAAGTTTGGGTTTATGTTTACTCACTTTCTGAAAGATACAGTAGTTAAAGTTTGGGTTTATGTTTACTCACTTTCTGAAAACATACAGCAATTAAAGTTTGGGTTTATGTTTACTCACTTTCTGAAAGATACAGTAGTTAAAGTTCTGACATGAAAGAATAATAATTTACCATATAACAAGTCATGGTGCAATGTGGTGCCATTCCTTTCTGTCACGGTCACAACACAAGAAGCCCATGTTGTGTCCAGTTGATTAGTAGCAAAGCACTGGTATATTCCTGAATGCTTCCAAGATATTCTTTTGATTATGAGCATGTCCTCTTTTAAAAGAAGCACCATCATAACAAAGGTATAAACAGTTTTGGTAAAGGGTTGAAACAGTAAAACAAACATAACATACTGTACCATCATAACAAAGTTACTAACAGTTTAGGTAAAGGGTTGAAACAGTAAAACAAACATAACATACTGTACCATCATAACAAAGTTACTAACAGTTTAGGTAAAGGGTTGAAACAGTAAAACAAACATAACACACTGTACCATCATAAAACAGTAACTAACAGTTTTGGTAAAGGGTTAAAAACAGTAAAACAAACATAACATACTGTACCATCATAACACAGTAACTAACAGTTTTGGTAAAGGGTTAAAAACAGTAAAACAAACATAACATACTGTACCATCATAACAAAGTTACTAACAGTTTAGGTAAAGGGTTAAAAACAGTAGAACAAACATAACATACTGTACCATCATAACAAAGGTATAAACAGTTTAGGTAAAGGGTTAAAAACAGTAGAACAAACATAACATA